CCCCAAAACCCCAAAACCCCAAAACCCCGCAATGAAGGTTGGTATAATCTTAAGAGGAAAATTGAAAATAATATTAACATAGAATTAAAAATTATTTTGACATTACTTAAACCAGAAAAGTAAAAAAATGAAACAACAGTCTTGGCACAAGAGTAGCTCAAGAACTAGTCTTAAGAGCGATAGATTACCCAATTTAAAAGAAAACTAAAGACAATCTTCAATGAAGAATTCTCATCACTATTCCAATTCCATCTCAAATAAACAGTAAATACTTAAATCATTTAAAAATTATCAGATCAGCAACAGAGTTCAAGTAATCCTGTGGAGATAAGTCCGATGAACTTTCCTATAAAAGAGAATCATCACATAATTTTAATATGGAAGACAACTTAAAGACTATTAGTACAAAAGGTATAGAAAGTCTGTTTGCTAATTAAATCATTAATAGAGATGAATGATATGACATTCGATTATGAAAACCAGTAAATGACATAACAAATTTAAGCTGTGTCTAATACTCCAATTAAAATAACAGAAGACTAAGATGATTTTATCGTCATCCAAAATCAAGAATAACAGCTTAGATCTCATCCTTATGATGGCTAATTGACGTTCAATCCTCATGAGATTAGTGATATAAAACTGGTGACTTATCAATAAAACTTTATGATGACAGAAAATGAGACTCCTGTAAATATCCTAGATAACGTTAAGAGACAACTTTTTTAAGATGATGAAGATCTTAGCAAAAGTAATGCTAAATAAGACAATAACTTTTCCGATACAAATGATTCTTTGTGCGTGAGCCCCAACAACCAGCTAAACATAATGTCATAGTAGAGTTTTGCATAGGATTAAAATTCTACACCATTCACTAACAACCAGATAGTGGATAGTCCAGACATAAAGATTTTTAAAACAAGTGTATTTAATAATCACAACAATGAGATTCATAACTATCCATTCCTAAATAGTAATGAGAACAGAGTATTTGCTTCATAACAAATAGCTTATTCTAGAGACTATATGAGATCAAGCACACCATTAGTCGTGAGAAACTTTGTAGATGATAGGTCTAGTATGGTAAATACTGCAATTAGCTAAGATAATTATTCATTGATCTCTAAAGGGTAACCTAGCTAAAGGAGAAGAGATTAATCAGCATCCTAGACTAGATTGTAAATGCCTTAAGGGTAAAATATGAATAAATCTAAGTCTTAATTGCTATATTTTTCTTAAAGAGATGGCTCAACATCAGCAAAATCATCGATATCAAAGGAAAAAAGGCTGTCTATTGATCACTTTTTAGGAACATAAAAAATTCTAGATAGGCGATAAAGAGATCAATTCGAGGTTAAACTTAAAAATATAATCGCAAGTGTTAAGCTATAATGTTCAAACTCTGATTATATTATAAACAATTTGAAAGTTATCTTTTTCGATCATTCTTAATTTTTCGAAGGAGGGATTATGGGAAGTCCATTATAACCAATTAATCACAATCTGATGACTCAATATTGCTTTCATTAATTCTTGAAGAAATATGGTTTAGTGTATGATGCTTCAACTTCTAATAACTTCGAAATGATATTCTAATAATGCTGCTCTAAGCAGACAAAAAAACTTGATTTTAAGCAGTTTGGAACTGTAATTGCTAAGATCGCATTGAAGATTTATGCTGATAACTATGAACCTTAATATTTGCTAATGATGGATCCCCTAGATTTCTTTTTAAAGTTAGTCTATGAGTATCTATTCAATCCCTTGCAAGATTCAAGTCAATAAAGTTATGTGTAGGCAGATAAGAGTAAAAGTATCAAAGTCCTTCAATAAAATATAGATAATGATTTCCAGAAGTATAAGAATGAATTCGATAGCTAGGGGGCGTTAAAATATTTCAAAAATGAATATAAAAGTATTTAGAAAGTTTTTGACATATACTCTTGCTCTTCTAAGAGAGGTGTTAGAACCATATCTCTTAGGTAGTTTAAGCAAATGATGAGAGATCTTCAGATAATACCACACATTACAACAGAATACAAATGTGGCTAATTGTTTAAGTATCTAGATCAGTAAAGAAATTCATCAAAAGGACTTGCAGAAGAGATAATGTCAATGAATATATTTCCCTTAAGTATGTATATCTTGTTCAGTTTGACACTTGAAGATGATACAATAACTAAACAGAAAGTATAATTTATAGTTAAGTGGCTTCGAGATCACTCTAAAGATAGAGTTATTTCTTTACATGCTAAAATGGCTGAACAGAGAACTTTGCATGCTAATTAGTAATTTGCGAAATCCATGAAATGAAGTTTGTGAAATAGAAGTCTACATTATTTAGTGTAAAAGTATGATGTTCAATAAATGAAAGATTGATTTAATATAATTGATGTATAGAGTTAATTTTGAATTTACATTTAATAGATTATCAAAGTCCATTAAGTTAATTTTTATCATTAATAAATATAGATATCATTAAATGTCTAAAAACAAAAACTACAAGTAAAAGTCTAACTAAGGCCCATAAGGTGGCTTTAAGTCAGGCTCCAGATAGGTGAGAAAGTTTGAAGAGGTAATAGGTGGCTTCTTTGACGCTGATGGCTTCTACATTCTTCCAGATGGAGGTAAGTTAAGAAACATGTTATAAATTGAAACACACCTTTCGGCTTATGTTTTGCCAAATTGAATCAGTCAAAAGATATTTACTTTCCCTTAATAGATTTCTATGATCAAGATGGTTACTATTTCAACAAGGAGGGATATGATGAGTTCGGAGGATACTATGATGGTTTGTATTACTTCCCAGGACCAGGAAATAAGCATGAATTTGAAGATCTTTATGATGAAGAAGATGATTTGATTAGACAATTTGAAGCAAAGGTTGACTTTGTAGAGGAGGATGATGAAATCCAGGAAAGACTCTACAGAGAGTTTAAAAAGAAAGAAAAGCATATCTATGATAATGTATACAATGATTTGGATGAAGAGGAAGATTTTGTTGAAGAAACAAAGTAGGTTGATGTGGTTCCTATACCTAAGATGTCAGTACAATCTCAAGCATTCGTTCCTAATAGAAAAGCATAGCAAAACCCTCAAGCAGAAGTTCAAGTTAGTCAGAATAAAGTGGAGCAATAAACAAAGAATGAATAGTCACAAAAAGAAGAAACAAAATAAGTTGAAGAAATCAAGGAGAGCAAAGATGCCAATGTAACTGAGTAGCCTAAAGCATAAAAGAAATAATAGGAGAAGAAAAATCATAAGAATAGCTAACAGAAAGTTGAGCAATAGCCAGTAAAAACATAACCAAAGCCTAAAGAAACTAAAATAGAGGCTCCTGCACATTTTGGAGGTTGGGGTGCAATCAAATTTTGAGGTATATAATATGATAGTCTTGATTTTCAAGAGGCAATTAAGGCTTAATGACAAGTGGATACTATCGTGTTTATATATAATTGCTTATACAGTGTGAGTTTTATTTGTAGGTATTAATTTAAATTATAATGATGTGCGCTTGGGACCTATTCCATACTCACATATTTCTCTATTCTATTTTGGCTATTTCCCTCTTATTTTGACATAGCGGGGTTTTGGGGTTTTGGGGTTTTGGGG